GTTTGGAATGATTATGCTTCTACTCATTGCAACAATGCAAGTACTGCATTATTAGTAGACTTCAGACATGAATGCATTATCGACGAGATTTGTTAAGTTTTTTTATGAATATGATTTTTATATCTTTTATTTGTATTGAGTTTTATTAATAAGTTGACGTATAAATGTATTTATTATCTTTAGATTTTTAGTAGTCGTCAAGAATTAATTAAATGGGCTTCTGACGGTAAGAAGAAGACTGGATTTGTCATTGTTATAAAGACATCAGATGCATGAGGTAATAGCAGAAAACCAACACTTACACTTGAGCTACATTCAAATGTAGTGCGATACGTACAACTATTTAGTTCACAAGAAAGGGTTGCTGATCTTGCATCTATCTTATCCTACTACTTGAACTTGGCCCTGGATTTAATCAGTGGATGACTATGCCTGACATGGACCATTTGATAACATCATACTACCGAGTCGTTCTTTATCATTTATCCATGTAACAGTGCTTGACATTTCTACCACTTAGATCAGTATCAATTACAACACCTAATTGAAAAGATATCTGCATAGGATTTGTAAATGAAAACCATTTCCTATAGTGTCACAACCCATACCTGACCTTATAGGTTTAGCATCGTAACCGACCAGTAATCCTACCAAAAGCCTCTGAACAGATTAACAAATTAAGGGGTTAACGGAAGCAAATAACAAAAATATAATAGTCAGACTTATATGAGACAAAAAATTTTAACTTATATTTACATATAATATGACGTCAGTCGTACATACAAAAGAAACATAAACTTTTCCACAAAAAAAAAAAGAAGATAAAACTTAAAACTTGTTCATTAACTAAGTCACAACATTGTCCACAAAAACTTGATAGAAAGGCTTCGGAACCTCCTTGAAAGGCGTACTAGTTGGCTGACACAAACGGATCTAGACTGGAAGTCTCAAGCCTGGTTACACACCTGATTACCTACTTACATCATATAAATAATGAGTTAGAGCCCAGTGAATAACAACAAAGTAAAGGTTTTATAAACGATGTCCATAATAGATTCACAAATCAGAATTCAATTCAGAAACAGATTCATATACATATTCAAACTTGTAAACAGTCATACGTGGTGCATCTATTAGCATTAATAAATCATATTGGTCATCAAGACCCATATACAGAGCAGGTGATCATTAAGACCCATAACCACATAAGATGGTCATAAAGACCCACTTACAGATCATATAGTTGATTATGCATAATCAGTTCCATGAATAGAACCCACTTGAAACCCCAGTAACATATCACACGATACATTTCAGAAATAGGACAATCAATTATCTATACAAAAAATATAATTTCAAAAAATAGAGCTTATCATATCATTTCATTCATAAATTACTTATAGTCCAACATAGCTTTACAGAGTTGTTACTCACAAATAGCTCTAGAAGCATAGACAACGTAGACAGATACATATTGAAACACACACTCTGAATACAGTTAACTTATTACATTTCTTTCTTAGTGTGTTTCTAATTCATATCCTCATTAGTATGGCCTAAACCATGACTTAAAAATGCCTAAGATGGAATGAGGATGCAATTATGCACTTTAAAACATATGCAAAATTTTCAAAAAACATGACAGTTCGCTCGAGCGCAACTTTTGTCTCTTGAGCGGTTTGCAAAGTCTGTAAAAGTACTGGATGCTTTCATTTTACGCTTGAGCCAACTTTTGCTCACTCGAGCCATATGCCTTAAAGGGGCGAGTTCGCTAGAGCGAAGTTTTGGTTGCTCGAGCTAACTACTTCGACTGCAAAAATATTGGGAGCATGCAAAGTATGCTCAAGTGAAGGAAAAACCCATCGCTCGAGTGTACCTTGCGAATTCTGGAATTTCCAGATTGTTGTTCCAAGTTCAAAACTCAATTTAAACACATCAAAGCTCATCCTTTTAGGCCAAAATGAAACAAAACATTTAGAAAGTTGTAAAAAACCAAGAAATGAAGTTCAATTCATAAATTCAAAACCCAAAAGCAAGTCAATTTTTCAAAACCAACTCAAAACTATGCTCTTCAACACATGGTATGCACATGCATGTAATCATCCAAGTTCTTTACTTTGAAAACATGATCAATTAAAACAAAATGACATAGAACATGATGAATTTCCAAAACCAAGTTGAAATAATGACATGCATGAGAAAATTCTTGGAATGCAATTTCAAAACATGGTAAATTATGTATGCATGCATGCATAACTCATGCTCATTTTCTACATTCCTTAGCTCAAATCATGCATTAATTCCTATGTTCTCTTGAATTCTCATAATTGTGACTTAAACACAAAAGTTGAGAGTTGATTACTCACCTAAGGTCTTGGCTTAGCAAGAATTCTACGTTGTTCTACCCAAATTTCCAAATCTCTAGCTTGATTCCAAGTCAATTCTTCAATCTCCTACCAATTTGTTGCTTTCACACCAATTCTCTCTCTTCCTCACATTTTGTTCTCAAAAGATGAAGATTGATATGCAATCGTGAACTCTAAGTGGCTTTATATACCTTTGATTAATCTAACTTAATTAAGACTAATCAAAAATAAATATTTATTCTAATTATTTGATTCCTAATCAAATTCTAATTAAACTTACCATAAAATCCCAAAAATTCTAAATAACACATGAATTTAGTCAATTTCGTGTTTAGATGCTGATAAGGCCTTCAAGTAACAGAACAAAACAGAATTCTGAACAGATATTCCTGCGACTAACAGATATGAATGCAAAACACATACAAAATACACAGTTAACACATAATTCTACTTAAGCATCTTATTAATATTCTTAATTATAAATTAGTAGCTAATTATAGAGTGGGGTTGTTACATGCAAGTATAAGCTACTGAGCCTACTTAGCTTATTACCATGTCTTATTTTGTAATTCTACTTATTAATATCTTTGTTATAGGCTTATCTGCAATCTGGTCATCCAGTACCTCAGATAGTAAATAATTGGATTCGTTTTCATCACGCGTGTGTTAGTGGATGAGAGAAAGCATATACTACCCGTATTCATCAATTCCGTACGCCTGTCAACCCTGATGTAGTAACTATTGAAACTATCGATGTAGACAAATTGTGATAACATGTTTGATTGATGAATGCAAACAATGACAAATTTTATGGATGCTTTTATGGATATTCGTACACTTGACGTTTTTATGAATATATTTATGGATACTTCTTATATATGATTTTATAGATGCTTGTTTGATTTTTGGATGTTTTTACAGATGCTTGAAAAGAAAAGTAAATCTTTCAATATACAACGACAGGTGGCTAGACAAATCTATTATAGTTTGGCAACATAACACAGGAGTAAACTATATATAGCAATGTATCACTGAACAGGTACTTCATAAGTGACCTGAATTAATTTCTTGTTATCCTCCAATCAAACTACAGCATATTGTCGGGAAAAAAAAGTTTGTTTGGTAATATGGCACTGGATTAATTCAAATTCATTATGTTAGAATTTATCTCCACCTACCACCTCCACTATCACACACTCCACCTACCACCTCCACTTCACTCCTACACCTACTACCACATTTTCTTCTATATATACACCTACCACCTCCACTATCACACACTCCACCTACCACCTCCACTTCACTCCTACACCTACTACCACATTAGCATTGTATTACTGAACAAGCCCATCACAAATTTAAAAATCTTTGTTTGGAAGAAAATGGCTCTGTAAATGTATAGCATCAAAATGCTAGAGAAATCTATTTTTTTCGGTAATATAACACTGGAGGAATGTAAATTGTTTAGCATTGTGTGACCAAACAGGCACTTCGTTGTGGGCTCCACTCACTGTCTTCCCTGCGTCTTTCCCTTGCTACGTCTTTCTCTGTTCCCTTATTTTCATTCCAAAAACAATTGGTGTAAAGAGATGAAAGGGTTTTAAAAAGTCTTACTTTAGAATTAATTTTGGTAATATAATAGGTGTAATGTAAATCACTTTTTTTTGGTGGTGTAATGAGATAGAAGGTGTAAAAAGATAAAATAGTGGTGTAAGTATAATCACTCTTGACTTTTTAACCTATTTTATATTTTTGTAACTATTTTAGCCCAATCCATTATGCTAAACATAGCCTAAGTTGGCAATCTCTTGAATTTAATTTAGGAAGTGTTATTATTAGTATTCATTTTATTGGAGGAGGATTCCCATCAATCACTGTTTTGAATTGAACGGAGTTGTTTCGGTCTGTGGAGTTCACCATAAGTTTTATTTTGATAATTCAAATTGTTCATTTTGTCGAGTATTTCATGTATTTCATCCATTAAAAAAAATAGATTGATCCAATAACGGTAACTAGTTCAATTTATCGTATTTGTCATCAAAAAAATATATGGTTTATTTTTTTTGTGAAAAATACTATAAATTATAATAGTTACAGTTATTAGATCGACCTAATTTTTTATATAAATAAAATATATGAAACATCCAACAAAATAAAAATTTTAAATTATCAAAACAAGACCTATAATGAGTCTCACGAGTCGAAACAATCCCCTTCAGGTCAAAAAGTGACCGGAGGACATCCTCCTCCATTTTATTATACTTTTACTTTTAAGTTTTGCTATTTAAGGTAGATTATAAATAATGTCATGTCATGTATAGAGTTTGATTAGAAAACAAAATACTAAGTACGATTATAAATAAAGTGTGATGAATAACACTATCCTTCATTTTTTTATCATATTTGGAGCGACTTCAATAATTTTTCATCTACTTCTTATTAGTAAAATTTGACATAACAAGCACAAAAAAATTCACTCCCAACACGTTGATGGCCAGTTTCTCTTGTGTTAGAAAATGAGTACCAATCAAGTTATTTTTCATTTTGTTTTACACTTCTATGTTGTATTTAGCATACTAATAACATGAGTGCACTTACATCCCAAAAAACAAAAACAAGTGTGTACAGAGTAAGTAACAAATAATATAAGACAGGAAATTTTCACTTACTTATATATAGTTCCCATAACATTTTAACTTAGCACATATAGTTTCCAAACATAGACATTCATTGCTTGCAAAACGGAAACGAAGGAGTATTGCTAATAGTACTGACACATAACACCATATGAAAAAAAACATAACGTTATAAACTAGTTAGAAGTGCAGGCGCCTGGCAGATTAGGCAGTGGTAGGTGGCGGCAGCAGTGGTGGCGGGGATGACGACCTACGGCGTTTCGGCACGAATTTGCGCATCCACACATGCTTCCCATTGATGGTGAACTTAACTTTTTCAACCCCATTGAGGATCAACTCAATGGAGCAAGGCAAATAGAACACAATTCGCGCAAAAAGAGACTGTTCACCGGGCTGCACTTCTTGCATATAGAGTGACTCAATGCAATCCCCGTAAATCCTAGTGAAGAACTCGCGGATCTCTCTCTCTGCCACTGGATAGCCCTTGGAGAATGTGACAAACATGGTCCTCTCATCTGGGTGCACCTCAAATGCTCTAGTCCCCGGTGGCTTGATCATCTCAACACCACCAAGCCTCAGGCGAACAAAGTCAGGTTGAACCAAGGATGGCACAAGCATTTTGGCAGCATTTCGCTCAATAGCTTGCTGCATCAGGTCAGTCAATGCCCTCGCACAAACATCACTTATCACCTTTGAAACACCCTGGATTGCAGTGACACGGTTTTCGTGGAAGTACTTGAGAGAGATCTCATTGTCCATTAGGTTTTGAGTTAGTGGGATGTGAATGGCTTCATAAAAGGACAGAAATGGATTGGCATTGAGGCAGTTGAGGCATGTTACTGCCTCGTCTGCTAGTTCATTTATCAGGAATTGGGTCAAGGACAAAATCTTACTGATGATGTTCTTGAAACTGGACCGCTCCAACCAGAGCCATAAGGCTATGATCCTCATGGATTCCAGAGGGTCGCGCCAGAGGTCTTTCGTGAGGATGGTGTACAGTCTTCTGTCCATTTCATGAAAAATCTTGAATTCCTCGGTGGAAATGACCATAGACAAGTCGTCCTCAAGGAGAAACATGGTTTGTGAATGGAGTGGTGCCCCGATGGAGAGAAATAGCCAGAAGGTTTCTGAAAAGCTGCTCACACAATGTAACATTCAAATAAAGAAAATAGATCAATTCTGCTATGAACATAGAAATTGGACACAGAAGATACATGAATGAACAAGATTTTACAGAATTTGTTAGTGATATCTACTTTTAAAAATCTTATCTGTCCATTTACATTTTGCGTCCGATTTTGTGACTGATTTCTGTGTTCGTAGACTTAATTCAAGAAAATAGTCAATAGTTCTCAAAATCAAAAGAACAAACAATGAAAAAGGGTGACTTCCGGCATGGCCAAATAGTATCACGTGAGTAATAAAATCCGTAAAAAATGAAAAAGAAGAAGAAGAAAAAGAGGGAAGGTAAAGAAAAAGAAAAAAATCCCATCAAAATTTAGTAACTGCATCTAGCAAGAGTTTTTTGAGTGCTAGGCATGAGTGCCTTGAAGGCTTCTATGTATCATATAGGCACAAAATCAGTGGGACAAAAACCCGACCTCAAAATTGTTGGGGGAAAGCAAATCTGGCTATGTGAGAGTAGCCATCTCACTCAACCCTCAAATCTGAAAGAGGGCTGCAAAAAAATTAGTCAAGAGCATCTATGGAGCCCCAAAAAATAACCAGAAGCCCCAAAAATTAACCAAAGCCTCATCATACTTCTAACTGATTTTTGCAGCCGTGTATTTGTACTCACAGATCACAGACAACCATAAAAATGAGAAGATAAAATTTCAATGACCCGAGCAAAGAAGAAGATACCTGAAGAGAACGCTTCCTGGGCAGAATCGATGGTTTTTCTTACGAACGCATTCTCTCTGAAAAAACTTGAAAACCCAAGTTCTAGATGCTCTTGCAGCCGCTCCAACTCAGCACCCCACTTCAATTTATAGCCAATTTAACACATATCTACAACAAACTAACCCGAGTTAATGTGATTAGCTTGTCCTCATCAAATTATCGAAGTCATTTCTATACAGTGAAGAGCTATAATTACATTGGAATCTTTTTAAGAAAGAAATCATCTTAGGGAAGGTGGTAATTAATGTTTTGAATGTGATTACAGCAATCACAAATTGGACCCATTCACAAATTTTCCGTTTCTGACAATTGAGTATCTGGCAAAAGGAAAATTTTACAGGTGTTGAACATGAAGGAAGGGTAAAGGAATCGAAATAACTCAAATGCTTATCTACAGACCAGCCTTTTTTTTATCTTTTTCCACTGCTTGGCTGATTATAACAAGTCAAGAGTTGTTGTAACGTAAAATCGTGGTTCAAAACTCTCTTTTCCCTCTAGTATGAAACTAAGCAGGACTAATTTGTTTCGGATTTAGAATACATGCCGTGAAAAATACATCCAAATTAAAAAGAAACATGTAATTACAGCTATCTAGTTTGTATCTTGTTTTCATTTGACATAAATTTCACATTTCTCTAATATTTGACTCATTTAAGTCAGTTTCTATTTCACAGCATTGATTGGAAAGTAACCCAAATTAATTATGCACTTTCTACTCATCAGTTTAGTTCATTTTCAGTCCACAGCCTCATTACAAGATTTCAAGATATAAAATTTTGCAAACTAACATAACTACACATATCCTATGCTTCGCATTGATATAACTAAAAATATTTCTACTTTGTACTAACAATCTCTGCCAACTGTTTGGGATTAGTCTACGTATTTGTCGGCATTCAATCTGATGAATCTATTTTTGTTATTGGTAATCTTACTGCCAAATATATGGAATCCTAGTAACGGAACTTAGTACTAGGATAACATTTTTGTCGGCATTCAATCTGATGAATCTATTTTTGTTATTGGTAATCTTACTGCCAAATATATGGAATCCTATTAACGGAACTTAGTACTAGGATATCGTTTTCGCACAGGTAAAATGTTCAAAAAGTCTGTTATTATAAAAGCAATAGCTGTTGTCAGCATTCCATTTTTGTCACTTACGATATAAACGACACTAAAAAGATGGTAGACGTGTGTTGTATACTTTTTCTTTGATTCTCGTGCATATTTTCCTACGCCATCATAGCAGAGATTGCCAATGTGGCGACTCAAATAACGGCTAGAAATTTGAATGTATAACACAAATTAAACAAGTATGATATCTGAATGGCATTTCAAATTGTCCACTAAGGGTATAGGAAAAATTGAAGAGGATAGAACATAAACCTGAGCAAGAAATTGCTTAATTCTACATCATTAGTTTGTTGGACAAATACTAGTTATCAAGTTGATAATAGTCTGCAATCTACAAGAAGTTTGCCTCATAAGCCAGGTATCATTTGATAACGTTTTCAATTTACAGGAAACAAATTTTATTTTTTTTCAAAATCAATTTCACTTCTTTAAAAGCAAAAACAATACACGAAACAAGTTTTCGCTTCCAATTTGGAATCCTCGTAACAGAACCTAGTACTAGGATAGCATTTCCAAAGTTTGTTATTATAAAAAGCGATAGTTGTTGAAGGCATTCAATTTTTGTCAATTAAGATATAAACAACACTGAAACGATGATAGACGTGTGTTGTGTACTTTTCCTGCTTCTCATGCATATTTTCCTACATCATCACAGCAGAGATTGCCAACGTGGTGACTCATAACGGCTAGAAATTTGAATGTACAACACAAATTAAACAAGTATAACATCTGAATGGTTGAATTTCAGGCATTTTAGGTTGCAATCAATGGTGTCTTGAAAACAAGTGAAAGACACCTCTTTTACCATTTTTGTTTCCAAAAATTTTGAAAATTTCGAAATCAATTCCACTTTTTTAAAAACAAAAACAATATACAGAACAAGTTCCCATTTCCAATTTCCAAATAAATAAATAAAATTTGAAAATGAAAATATTTAGAATCCTAGTAATTGAATCTAGTACTAGGATAATGTTCCGCAAGTTCATTACTATAAAAGGCAATAGCTGTTGTCGGCATTCAACTTTTGAAAATTATGATATAAACGACACAAACAATTGTTTTATGCTTTTTTTTGGGTTCTCCTGAATATTTTCCTAATTCATCTCAGCAGAGACTGCCAGTTTTATGCTTTTTTTGGGTTCTCCTGAATATTTTCCTAAGTCATCTCAGCAGAGATTGCCAACGTGGCAGCAACTCAAACAGCGGCTAAAAGTTTGAATGTACTAGACAAATTAAACAAGAATACTGGATGTGCATAGATGTCTCCAATAGCATTATGAATTGTTCAATTCAAGGCATCTTAGGTTGCAATCAATGGCACTTCAAAATGTTTGCTTACTGTATGACAGCATCAATTATCAAGGAGCATAGTCAAGAGGATAGATCATTAACCTGAGCAAGAAATTGCAATCTTCAACAAGATTTCCTCATAAGCCAGGTCCATTGCTTTGGACCACTTAAAACTTTGTCTCCCAAGTCACTGTCTCACAAAAGTGAGCATAGCTAGCTGCATAATAGCCCCGGAAGAGGAGTCTACTACCAAGTACAGGTAGACATGATTTCTATGAAACCGGACTAAACCAGACCCTGTTTCTGCAATCACTACTTCATGTTCAAGAATGATAAATGGCTGTGAAAAACTGAGTCCACCAGCATTACCAGACAACATGATTGACATGGAACTTGCCTACCAGGTAATCATCTGTTCTGAGCAACCATAAACAACCCTGGAAAATAAGTTTCAGTATTACCAGTCTGCCAAACAGGATTTGTATTGGCTAGTTGTCTCAGGATGGATTCTGTCTGACAGGCAGAAATAGGGGGCCACTGGAGCTATCTATGTCATGTGTGTCAATTGAAAGGGGAAAGAAAACTCAAATGCCAGCCCAGAAATTGAAAGAGTTGTGCCATGTAAAGCAGTTAAAAGACCAGAGAGCCTATCACACATGTTGTAGTGTTGTGAGACGCTCACTTGACTAGTTTTGTCTAACTGGGTATGAGCCCGGCTTGTGACCCTGAAGCAATTATCCATTTTTCATAGGGCTTTCATGATAGTCTCCGAGCCTGGTAGAATCTTTGACCCACTAAGAATCTTTTAAATCAAGCTTCGCTACCACAAAGAAAGAAAGAAACAAAGACTGTCTTCCTTCGAGGATTGTTGCTCATAAAGGGGTAGCCCAAATAGGCGATTTCGACTTATAAACTTTGGACAGTAACGTAACCACTTGACATCACTACAGTCAGGCTATCAACACGGAGTCAGAAATGAATTACAAGTCAAACCAGCATAACCACACTTGAAATTACTACACGGAATCAGAAATGAATTACAATTCAAACCAATCTGCAAATCGAGCAAAGTACTCCCTATACACACTAGTCACCATGCCAAAACCATCAAATCGATGTCTCATGTGAGAAACAGATTCGAGGGCATAACCAGCATTGAGTACATTGTTTTGCCCCATGAGAGATCTACAGAGCAGTTCCAGAAAATGGGCAATCCACTGTTACATACATTCTAAAACCATTAAAATTACATAATCTGACAAGAAGCATGGGCAAGAACAATGCTGAAGATGACGGGATGAAATGGAAGAATGCATCAATGCTCATCATCCATGATAACCAAAAAAGCAATCCATCCATTATAAAGCTAAAGAAAAGAAGGGGTTATAACTATATTGCTGCCATTATATTCTGAAAATATCGCGGCATCGTATGCTTAAACAACTAGTACAATGGGCAAAACAACAAAGATCAAACCAGGAGAGAATGCATTCAAAGCACCCCAACACCATGAACATCTTCCAAACTTCATATTCACAGTTCTCCAAAGTAACTCAAGTTAGATTTCACTGCAGTTTGTCCTTATCTCCATTGCTAATTACTAAGCCAGTGATACTGGGAGTAGCAGCGGCAGCACACTGCAGATCAGACAGAGAGAAAGATCGCCATGGAGAGAAAGTCCGTTCAGGGGGTGACAAGGATGATTCGTTGTTGGGTGATTTTCTACCATGTGGATGGAGAGGAGGACGACACGGAGTGGTTGACGATGAGTTCGAGTTGGAGCTTTCACTGTTGTTATTGCTCTCGTTGCCGTTCATAGTCATCGCCAGAGCCGAAGTACTTCTATTGGAGTTGGCAGGTCTCTTTGATATGCCACCACTGTTACCTCTCAGTGGAGAATTGCGATTCTTGTCAAAGAGAGTACTGTAAGCAAGCAAATTCTTGCGTTTCCTGGTGTAAGCATTTTCAGGCTTCACAATTTCTTTAAGGGAGGAACAAGAGACAGCATCCGCCAGACTAGTAAAAGACTTTGATTTGCCACAGTAGAATTTCGATATACCTCTCCTGAAAAGTTCCAACCATATCGTGAGAAACATTGGAAAAAATCAAAAAAAAAAAAAGCGACACAGAAGATAAATAATACACTTGTCATCTAAAACATGCTTAAATAGACATAGTACTACACTAGAAGATAACTAATTCAGCATTTTCAATACTTAATTTTTAGTAAACTTTATCTAAGCATAGATTTCAAACATTATATCTGAACGGTTGAAAGTTGATAATCAGACAACAAAAACTAAAAGCACCCCTCTACCCGTTTTCAGATAATTAGCCTTTCTAAAACTTATTTAAGCTAAGCTACACCGAACACTCTGGCATTCAAAAGAAAGAAGTCATATGCAATTCCAATAAATTGCACCAAAATAAACCAAATATGCAAATCACTAGGCAAAACCATCAAACAAGAATACTCTTTCAAATCTTAACCCAAGTGTAAAGGGAAAGTCAAATGGCTGCATGAGCAAAAGTCTCCTCACACTTTTCATCCTTTCTTGAAGCCACAAAGACAAAAGTTTGACAGCTGAGCAATTGTGTGGTTTTAGCTTTAGGATAAATCACATATTTTATATTAATAAATAAAATAAATATATATAAAATAAAAACCACTCAGATCAAGAATTGAAGTAGTTTCCTTTTCATAATCTTTCTCAGTAACCAATCAGTGATTAATTATACCTAAAATGTGATTTATTCGATGTGGGACTTAATTACTATGTATAACAAACTTTTATTTATCAAAAAACAAAAAAAAAATGTGATTTATTCAGCATTCCAAGTCTTTCCCCTAAAATTTACCTTCAAAAACCAGACAATAATCATATGATAAACATCTTCACTAGTTCATTAATTAATTACAAATGTTAATCATTTTCTACACAGCCAAACAAATCATCCCAATACAGATCCAAAGCACCAAAATTTACAAAAACAAATGACAAAAATTGTAAGCCAATTGCAAAATTGATCAAAGAACCAAACAAACCCTACTAAAAAAAAAAAGAAAAAAAACCGCGAAAATGATACATACTTCATAGGCAAAACTTCCTCCAAAGCATCCAAACTATCCAAAGGTCCTTTAAACGAGCTCTGAACCTCACCATCGCCGGAATCAGCATCGCCGTCCAATTCACCTCCCGACGAGTCACTATCCCTTCCGATCGACGACGAGCTACTCGAATCCCCAAAGAGCCCTGTGCTTCTTTTTCTTTTATTACCGGCGAAGTTTCCGGCGACCGGTCTTCCGGACTCCGGCGACTCGTATACCGATCCACACGACATCATTCCATGGCGCAATCCTGACCGTTCGATCCGACTACTGCTTTCCAAGGCGATCGTCATCGGCTCAGTAAATCGTCAACTCAAAAAACGCACATAAAAACAAAAACAATACAAGCATCAAGCTTTGTATATACAGAAGAGATATATAGATATAGATATAGATATAGAGAGAGAGAGAGAGACTTATCTCGCAAAGATAAAAAGAGAATAAACTGAGGAAGACGAAGGTCTTATCCTCATCCATTAAAGCTTAAAATATTGCAAATTGGATAAATAAACAAGATTATCTTCATCTGCCTTTTTTTTAAAAATTTAATATTTAGGAAGTTATTACCTGTATCGGGGTTCCACGGCTGTTAGGCCTCGTTTGGACAGGTTTGGTAAGGATTTGGATCGTATGTCCTTTTTTTTTTTTTTTTTTTTTCTATTTAGTAATAATTTTTTTTTATGATTTTTATTATAACAAAACACCTTAAAAATATAGAGATATATATATTGGCATTCTAATTTAAAAATTAATGCAAATATTTCAAAATCTTTTTTTAAAAAACTTTAATTTAAACTTAAGATTGGTTTGACAAATATATTTTTAATAAAAAAAAAGTAATTGTTACAAAACTGACGTAATTACTAAATGTAATTAAAAAGTACATCTTCAGTAAGAAAGTTGAACGAGAAAGTTTTTTTTTTTTTTAATTAAAGTAATCAAAATGTAACTATTTAAGGCCTTATGGAGTATTAAATTATCACAACGACACATTACAGTGAAAAAAAAAATGACAAAAACATCATTAATTCGCGTTACATTTTAGGATAAACTATAAATATGCCTCTTAAAATTTATTTAGAATACATGTCTACATTCTTCGTTCTCTTCAATTTTTTAATCACATAAGAAATAACTATTTTTATTAATCAATCATAAAGTTAATTTATAATTTTTTATGATATTAGAGATACATTTTGTTAAATAATTTTGATAATTTTATTATTGTAGAGGAGAGTAGATAGAAATTTTATTTTATTCGATAATTTTGATAAATAAAAATTTTTGACAATGGAATGTTTATAATTTTCAAAACTACATGAAGTAATATGTATTTTAAACAAATTTTGGGGTGTATTTATAATTTACTCTTTATTTTTTTATTGTTTAATTTTCAGTAAATTTTTTAAACTTTTTTTAAATTATTTTACTTTTTAAAGTGCATCTAATTTTATTTATTTATTTATTTTTGAAAATTCACTAAAATTAAAACAGTTTAAAAAATAAATAATAATAAAACTAGCTTGAAGCAGTTGCTAAACAAGTAATAGGTCGTATTTGGTGAACATTAACCAAGTCTGGAAGTTACAACTTAACTGGTCTTTTTGTGTTTGGATTTTGTTAAGTGTCCTAAATACCTTACCTAATAAATTAAAAAATAATTATACATTTTATATAGTACAAATGCTCTAGCTTTGAAATCTTCAAATGTTTAACCAATGTATTTCATAAGTACTTGAACTCATAATGTTCATTATGAATCATATTTTGATAATGATTTGAACTATTCATTTTATAAAATATTTTGTGTATATTACTCATAAAAAATATTAAATTGATCCGATAATCATAACACATTTAATTTGTCACATTTGTTATTTTAAAAAAGGATAGTCTATTTTAAAACTTACACATGTCGTCTAATTTATTTATTTATTTGACAAACACAATAAATTAAAGAATGATCAATTTATTTTTATTTTTTTAATTTTATGAATGATATATATACTATGGGTGTTCGCAGTTCGGATTTAGACGGTTTTCGGATCGGTTTGGACCCGCCTGCATCTATGAGGTTTGGGGAAAAGACAACCCGCAACCCGCAAACATGTCATATTTCAAACCGCATCCGCCCGCATTGTATTTGCCAAACCGTCCATTTGTATGCGAGGTGGGCAGTTTTTACGGATCGGATGAACCGTTGCTCACCTCTAATATATACAAAAGGTTTTACAGCATAAACAATAAGGCATTCAATCCATAAATTTAATTTTTGACTTTATTTGCCCATAGATCCACACTTTAAAATATTTTATCTATAAGGACAAGTTCTAATAAAATAACCAAAGTATCTAGGAATATATATATATATTGTTCACCAACCAAATCCTAATCAAATGCCTCTCTCTCTCTCTTTCTCTTCCCGCAGTTCCTCTCTCCTTTCTCTCTCACGGACGTGTTTCAATCTCGACATCTTCGTTCCTAAGTTGACTAACGTGAGACAACCATTCTCTCTCCTCATCGTTATAAATTGCAATGAGATTTCTAACTTCGAAGCTCAACCTGAGTGAAGTAGTTTTGGAGCCATTGATTTGGATCAACAAGGCTACCAACGTAGCCCTACGAATTCGCCACTTCACGCCGATACAATCTGGCACTTCTCGTTCCGGACAACAACGTCAATCTGATCTGATCTCTTTGACCGCTGATCGACGGAGAGAAACTCGTGGAAGTTGCTGGAGTCTCGGTCGCCGTATCTGGAATTGTCGCATATTCGGATTGTCAATGCTTCCTTCAACAACATGTATACATACATATATAAATCGTTATACAGACACGCATACAAAATCGAATTGATGAGTAATAGATCAGCGATATATTTTTTTTTTTGCTGTTGATTGTTGTGTGTGTATTAGTGGTGTTTTTTTCGTCGTTGATTGTTGATAATTCTGTCTTAGTTAAATAGGCATTGTTTTGTTCTAGATCTAGGATTTGCATCCAGTAGATAGGTTTGAGAAGACTATTCTAATTGTAGAGAAGGTGTTCGATGAAATATGTGACAGAGGGATAGTATCATAACCCAAACCCGCCCCTATAGGTTTAGCATCATAACCGGCCAATAATTCTTAAATTATCAAAGGCCTCTGAACAGAATAACTTATAATTAGGGGCAACGGAAGCAAATAAAGAAACATACATAGTCCATTGAGCTGTGTAGAGATACATGAGACATAAAACTTCAAAACAAACTTATATATATGTGTGTGTGTGTGTGTGTGTGTGTGTGTGTTTGTGTGCATGTGACGTCATAAATACATTAGTCATATGTCACCCATTTTCATAGATAAAGCCAAAAGAGGACTTAGCCTAATGTGTAGATAAACAAAACAAAACAAAACAAAAACATCTGCAGCAAAGTTACAAAACTTGACATCTCAAAAGGGAACCTCCCCGGGAAGCACGATAGCTAGCTAACTCTAACCTCTCTTGGCAACAACTTAGGCTTGGTCACGCACTTGCTCACCTACATACATAATATAAATAGTGAACGAAAGTCTAGTGAATAATAACAGAGTAAAGGGTTTTGATGAATGATGATGTCTATAACATAATTAGAAAATCAGAGTTCATATCAGAAACAGGTTTATATTCATATTTTTGTTCAAGTCAATAACAGAAATCAAAATTCATACTTAATCTTACATCCGTTAGCGCTAATAGATCACATACGGGACATCGAAGATCATACTTTTCAGTTCCATAAAGGAACCTCCGGCCGAGTATGAATAATTTGTCAGTTCCATAAAGGAACCTCCAGACCAGGTGTGGATAGCTTGTCAGTTCCTTAAAGGAACCTTCGGCTGGGTACAGATAACTTGTTAGTTCCATAAAGGAACCTCCAGACCGGGTGTGGATAGCTTGTCAGTTCCTTAAAGGAACCTCCGGCTGGGTACAGATAACTTGTTAGTTCCATAAAGGAACCTCCAGACCGGGAACAGATAACTTACTTGAGCCTTGAATACTTATTAGAATTTGGACAATCATTCATTGTACATAACATAACATTTCATAAATAGATCTTATTTCATCATACAGAAAATAATTAAAGTTGAACATATATTTTCTAAGTTATTACTCACAGTTGGGTCCAAAGAAAACAGACAGAGTAGGCAAATCAGATGTCTTATGGTGCATAACCTACACAGTTACAGAACGAACACATACTAAATTACACATTCGGAATCATTAATTTTATTCTTTTTTTATCTTGGTGTGTTTCTACTTCTTATCCTCATTATTATGTCTTAACCTTGGCCTAGGAATGCCTAGGATGCAATGAGGATGCTAAAATGTACTTGGAAACACTTAACAAAATTTGCTGAAAATAGGGGTCCCGCTCGAGCGCAACTTCCTTCGCTTGCGCAGACATGCAAAATATAAGTGGTCGCTCGAGCGGTTTATAAACTTCTGCAAAAGTACTGGTTATGTGATTTTCACGCTCGACGGTCGCTCGAGCGTGAGACTCAGGTCCTCGCTCAAGCGCACCTCTCGTTTTTTTTTATGATTTTTATTATAACAAAACACCTTAAAAATATAGAGATATATATATTGGCATTCTAATTTAAAAATTAATGCAAATATTTCAAAATCTTTTTTTAAAAAACTTTAATTTAAACTTAAGATTGGTTTGACAAATATATTTTTAATAAAAAAAAAGTAATTGTTACAAAACTGACGTAATTACTAAATGTAATTAAAAAGTACATCTTCAGTAAGAAAGTTGAACGAGAAAGTTTTTTTTTTTTTTTAATTAAAGTAATCAAAATGTAACTATTTAAGGCCTTATGGAGTATTAAATTATCACAACGACACATTACAGTGAAAAAAAAAATGACAAAAACATCATTAATTCGCGTTACATTTTAGGATAAACTATAAATATGCCTCTTAAAATTTATTTAGAATACATGTCTACATTCTTCGTTCTCTTCAATTTTTTAATCACATAAGAAATAACTATTTTTATTAATCAATCATAAAGTTAATTTATAATTTTTTATGATATTAGAGATACATTTTGTTAAATAATTTTGATAATTTTATTATTGTAGAGGAGAGTAGATAGAAATTTTATTTTATTCGATAATTTTGATAAATAAAAATTTTTGACAATGGAATGTTTATAATTTTCAAAACTACATGAAGTAATATGTATTTTAAACAAATTTTGGGGTGTATTTATAATTTACTCTTTATTTTTTTATTGTTTAATTTTCAGTAAATTTTTTAAACT